TACATAGGAATGTCTTCGTATTTCTTTCAACGAAATATTTAGCGTAGGAGATTCAGTTTATTCGGGTTACAGGATGAATAACAGTACTTGAACGCATCCAAAATGCACTAATTTGAATAAGTAATGAAAACAAAGCATAGCAGAAAAAACATTTTTAATCCAAAGGGGCTTTGTCCCTGAAGAACTATTTTTCGTTTTGCGATTTGCGTCGAATCACTATAAATGTCTGTTTCACTTTCAAACTGTTGCCATCAATGTTAGAGTCCTGCATTATATTGAAGAAATTAAATAATGAAAAATCGCATAAAGTGTGTATATTTCTCGCATTAAATAAAACAACGGTACATAGAGCCATCGAATTTGAAGACGTAATCCTCCTACGAATATGGACATCTGGAAACCCAAATTTGAAATTAGAATTTGTTTTATTATGGATTTCATATTTGTAGAAATTAACGAATTTTGAGTAACAAATTCAACGATTTGAAAGCGGCAATGGCAACAATCACGGGGTGGGGGAACCTTTTTATCTGCAGCGCGATGAACTGTGTATCGAAATTCTAAAGATAGCTCATTTTAAAAATTATTTGCGACATTGCTATTGAACTGAAATTTATGGTTTAAATGCGAAGAACATGATATTTAATAAATAAATAAAGGTAACACACAAAATGTTAAAAAACGTCCCTTCGGACGTAATTTAAAATCTGAAACCTTTCAGACATTTTTTTAATGGTTTAAAATTACATGCTTTATATCTATCATTTACACTCAATAGATGGCTCATCAGCGATTATTTTTACACCGAAGAGAAAAAGAGTCTTTCAAGATTTTTAGAAAGTTAATTTTTTTTAATCATTACAATATTGTTTTTCTTTAGCAATTTGTGAATGGCTATAAAAATAGTGTTTTTAGGGTTTAGATTATTTGAATTTGGCAAATGCCAAAGAGAAAGGATGCCTTAGTGGAAGAAACTATTAGTAAAACTGGCTAGTATTCAAGTTAACCCGTGGGAAAACCAGCCGTGCAGCCAGCCCGTTCACCTGGGTTCGAACCCGAGTCGAACTACCAGTATTTAGAGGTCATAACGAGAAAAGAAGAGTTGCTGCCCATAAAATGCGTTCTAAAAGGAAGCAAATAATATTTATGTTATATTAGAAATTCCCTAACCTAGGAGGTGTGGTTTTCCCCGTGTGTAACGTCTATACGAGGCAGTTTCCCTTAGAAAGTCTTCAACGAAGGCATCCCTCCCTTTAGGCAGATAGCCCTCATATGCTTTGCCATAATTAAATAATCCAATCCAATCCCTAACCTAGGACTACCTGGATGTGGGGTTGGGGAAACAGCTTCGGCAAGCCTAATGCGCCCAAGACCCCACCAACATAGGTAGCTTCGGTAGCCATTTCATAGCCCACAGGGAAAATAAAAGAGTTTGAATGAAAAGGCGAGAAGCTCTGTTGCGGAATTTTTTCTTCTACAACAGAACTGTTCGTTGCATTAATTGTTTAAAAGAAATTTAATTAATATAATATATTACATCAGTTACATCGCCTCCCTAACTAGATGGAAATGAAATGGCTCTTCTAGATGACGATGGAATAGAAATATTAACTCTGAATAAGTAATTTGAATTTGGCAGCTAAACAAATAAAAACTAAATAAATAAATAAAATCAATGTGTTTGCAGATCCAAGAGACAAATGTTTTGCTCTGCACCCGCTCGGTATTTCTGCCTGCGGGGCGAAAAATAGAGCTTAGGTACAAAGAAAGACAAATAAAGAAAGGTATTTTGTTTTGAAAGTAAAGATAATTTCATGTCATTTAACACGATACAGAACGAAACTGCTCAGCTGCCATTACACGTGCAATTATTTAGACGAGGGGCAGAAACTTATCAATTAACTTATAAGGTATTTCTCCAGCTTTCTTAGTATGCCTTCGTGGTGTAGTGATCAGCCCGCTCGACACGTATTCAAGAGATCCGAGTTTCGATTCCCGGCGACGACATTGCTCATTTTTCATCTCTCCTGCTTTAAAAAACCTAATATCTCTACAGTGGCTACTATTAAAAGGTGATGAATTATGATTCTCCACCACCAGGATTTGGCGATTGGGTCCCCTAAAACCTCAGTCGCCCTTTAAAAGAGGGAGTATATAAAGTATTGCTCCCGCCTTCTTAGCATGCCTTAGTGGTGAAGTGATCAGTACACACGACGCGTAGTCGAGAGGCCGTGGTTACAGTCCTGGCGAGGGCACTACTCATTTTTCATATCTCCTGCTTCGAAATAACCTAATATCTCTTCAAACTAGCTTTAGCAATACCTGAATCACATGTGGCACTACTGTGAAGGTAGAAAATAAGGTATGTAGGTAGCTTACCGAGGACGGGGACCTCTGATGTCTAACAGAAGTAAACAGGCATGTGTCCTACGCCCTTCTCTAACTACAGCAACAGCTCTCTGGAGCCGCTAGATTGCACCAGAAGATTATTGAGGTTGTGAAAGGGAAGTACATGGCCTTACAATGGTAGGATTGTATTACAGATTGAGGAGGCAAGCTGTGGTGTTACAAGACATACACATAAAAACACAAGCGCAAAATACATAAGCAGAAAACAAATAAAACAGGTACATACACTTAAAATAAGGGAGGTAGGAATTTTACTCTGCAGACCCCTCGACGAGCTCTCTCCTGCTTATGCGGCTGATCGGGACGGGAAGATCAGCCGCAAAAGCACCACCCCCGGCCCCGAGTTGGTCATTCCATGGAAGTAAGAATTCCGTTCAGAATGAAATGTTGTTTAAAAATGCATTCGTTTCACATACTTAGGACTCTGGACTATCGTAGAAAAATAATATATATATATTTATTTATACGTATATTTATGACGTAATTACAAAATGTTTACATCTGATTATTTCAAAACCCATTGATGGTAAGTTACTGAATGTTTTGATCTCCAAGAATGGATCGCCATTGTTTCAAAGCAGAGAATGGGCAAAACTAGTTAAAGACTCTCCTCTTACTTCCTACCATCCTACCTCTATGGGTCACTCTCTCTCAGTACTTTAGGAGTGAACAAGTAGGGGAAGAACCAGAACCTGTTTCTACGATGGTCCATGCAAACTGGACAGGACCTGTATACTGTCAGTCTGTCTTGGGCTGCATATTAAATTTAGGTCAACCTTTGAGCCTGCTATAGAAGAATGGCGCTAATCGTGCATAGGCTGCTCGACGGCCCCATCTAAGCCTGCTCTCTTTTGCAACGTGGTTTTACAGAGGTGCAGGCCCAGCTTCTGCTTGTACCTGCATAATTTACACAGTCATAATTATAGTATGACTGTATAATTCACAGTCATGACATACCAAACTTTTCCTTTATTTTTTGATACGTCTGGGTTCATCTATAAGTTTTCAAACTATCGCAAATCTCAAAACATCTTTTTTAATGTATTTATAGAAGAATAATAACATGCATATTAGAGACCGCAAATAGTAAATTAAAATCTGCGTTATTTTATGATCGACTGTACTTAAAATTATTTTGTGATAATTTTCGCTTAAATTATTCATCGTTTGCATATTAAATACTTGCCTTGGTTAGAATTAAATTTTAGCAGCCACAGATTAAAAGATTATTTATTCACTAAGTTTATTAAAAGTTTCTATTTGCCTTAGAATATTAACTTGTTTAGGATTAAACTGAAGTATATATAACTCATTACTAATTTTTGGTAGTGGAATAATAATTAATGACTAATTAACCCAACTCCATTTTTCTCCTGTTGTGATGTTGTCTATAAATGTAACATTCTATATTTACCGACCTTTTCATAGAACATTTTTAGACGTAGCTGGTTAAATCAGTTATATTCTCGAAATAGTACATTTTGCACTTTTTAATGCTTAAAAATTAATAAAACTCACCTATTAATATATATTACAATTAGAAAAATCAATTCATTTGAGAATTGCTTTAAAATTGACTTAAATTTTAAATGAATTGTATTAAAATTAATAAAAGAAGGAAAAAATAATAAAAAAGGACTGTTCTTCATATTTAGATTTAAAAATTTTTAATACATATTCTAAGCATTTTTTTTCTTTTGCATATATGCATATTCATGAAAAGAAAAATGAATAGTTGCCATTATCACAAATTAAATATAAGAACTAATTATGAGGTAATAATATCATACCTATTAAGCACAGTAAAAAAAATACACAAAGGAAATATAAATTTATAAGTGAAATACGCACTTACCTCGGGTTCTTGATAAATTTCTTTGTTGAATTCTAAAAACTGTCTCTGCAGCTGAAGGTTCCAATTTGATTGAAATATAGCAATTATTTCTGTAGACGTGATATGAACTGCAGAAAAAAGTGTGAAAACTGAGTCTAAATAACGTTAAAATTGCTTTTTTATATATAACGGATTATTCATTCTTAAGATTTAAGGAGGCAGAAACGAAAATTCAGATTCAGAAGGGAAATTACTAGAAATACTTTCAAATAGGAAAGAAATTATCGTCAACTACAGGCAGCAATACTATAAAGTTCTCCAAAAAAACTGTTTATTTTCAAAGCCAAAAAATACAGCAGTCTCTAGTATACTTTTTTGTTTTTCCAATTCAGAAAGCCAACCAAAATATTGTTAAAAATCGCTGTCAATTTTCGCAAAAATCATTACTTCTTTACCTTGATAAGTTGATTTTAAGGCAGCGAATGTCACTAAATTTCACTTCACATGACGCATGGAACGACGAAGACTGCCAAATATTTTCAAATAAAACCTCCAACTGGCAATCGGTCTCATATCTGTCAGACTATTCGATCACATTCCTGTTTATTTAAACTAAGAAATAACTTTTCCAGAACTGATTAATTCAGATTTGATTAGATAAAATTAATGAGTCAAATGCTTGAAAGCCACGATATCAAACGAACTCGATCCCAATCGCATTGTTGACATTTTTCAGCTGCAACTTGTTCTCACCGAGCGTAACTGTAACTATGCGGTAGACAAGAGACCGAAACGAGGAAGCCTCTTTTGTATGGAAGAAAGCGTTTTATAAACCAAGGTTAGAGTTCGTGAGGCGTGGTTCACTTTCTACTTTATTTCGTGTAAGTTGTCTCTGTTATTTACTTCGTTCTGTCAGCGGCATTGTCGTGATAAGATTACCTTGTAATTATTTCCGAAAAAAAAAAAAAAAAAAAAAAAAAAAAAAAAAAAAAAAAAAAAAAGTAACTATGGTTGCTTTGTTGTTCAAGTAATTTTTACTGTGCAATATCTGTTCTCTTTGTAGACTTTTGTAAATATCAAGATGAATTTTTCTTTATTCTGAGATTGAATTTTTTTTACATTTGATTACGGCAAAACCAATATATATATATATATATATATATATATATATATATGTTGGAAGTGTTTATATGGCCCATTTTCAAATTTTGCTTGCACAATGCTCTCCCAGAAGAAAAGAAAGAAAATTGATAAATTAATATTTAAATTTTAATTTGATCAATGCATTGCATAAAAATAACTATAAATATATTTCTACAATTAAAAATATAAAAAAATCTATTGAAATTTTTAGATCAAAATTTAGCAAATCAATAAAAATAATTTGTCTTCCCCTTCGTGTCAAGTTCATTACCTTGAAATTATTTTACCCCCAATTAGTTTCTAAATCTGCCTAAAGGGGGGTACATATTCAGAGTAATCAAACAAAGCTTGACTAGTTTATCTATGTCACTGAATATGGACTGCCCGTTTTAGACAGATTTACAAACTAATTTTGAATATAATAATCTCGAGGTATAGGACATGACATGAAAAAGAAAACTAATAATTTTTCTATTGATTTCTGAAAAAAAAAAAAAAAAACTTAACTTCTAAAATTAACTTTTATAGTGAGTATAACACACTAATAGTTCATATTTAAAATAATTAAACTTCTTCATTTAAAAAAATAAATTAGGTTACAAAACAAAAAGATTGAATAGCATGAAACTTGAAAGGGACAGGCATTTTTGCCTACGATCACATATTTTAAGATTTCTATAGTATTCAGTTGATTTTTTTATATTTTGAATTGTAGAAATATATTTATAGTCTTCTTTACGCAATACGCAATGCATTGCTCAAATTAATCTTTAAGCATAATTTATCTTCAATTTTCTTTCTTTTCTTCTGGGACAACATATGTAAGCAAAATTTGAAAATGGGCCACATGATCCTTAAACAATACGAGGTTTAGAGACCCGCACAATGCGAGCTATCAAAAATTTTTATTTAAATATTTATCCTATTTTATATACGTTATACATACATATATCTGCCTGCTCAACAATTATTCACTTATGCATTTTTATAAACTTTTAGGATTAAAAAAATTTTTTGGAATTATATATTTGTTCATAGATTTTGATACTTGCACTTAATTTACATGCGCTCTCAGAATTTAAATGATATTGTAGATTAGTTCGCAGCAAAGAATTTATTTGTAATTTTATTTCATTTAAAATTTAATTAACTTTAAATTTGCTTTTTACGAATATAGAATGTTTGTTAAATTCAAATTTCATTCCTCGCAGCAATGGCGCAAGAGAATTATTTAAATTTATTTAACTATTTATTCTTTTGAAACAGTATATATATATATATCTATATATATATATATATCTTCTTTTCAGTTGTTACGTTATTTTCTTCCTTCACGATTGTACGGGGTTCGTATGGATTTGGTGTGAATAATGACAACAGCACTCGATGAAGTATCGCAACACACTTTATTTAGCCAATATTAATCAGGACAGCTCCAAAATCACGTTTACAGTCGTCGAAGAACTACTATAAACACGCTGACACGATCAGCGACACAGGCTTCACAATGTCAGGCTATAACGGTGCATACAGCTTCACTGCAAAGCACCAGAGTACAGCTCCCGACTCTGCTCGCTCGTTCTCGGAACTCCACATACTCTCGAGACTCTACACGCTACAACTCACGATACACTCGAAGATACACTAGAGTACAACCCCGACTCCTCTATTCAGTCGTTCCCGGAGCAAAACACACTTTCTCGACGATGCACTAACCACGATACACTAAGAGACTCTTTCGCTGCACTCGACGACCCACTCGGCAATCGCTGACCGACTATCAACTCAATCAACTCCGCACGGAATAACTAACTATCTCTATATTAACTGACTCCGCGTGCCAGCAGGGTTTATGTAGCTTTTGGCTTGTGTTCGAGAACATTCTGGGCTAAACCGGTAAGAATTCGTTTCAGAAGGTTCTCCATCCGTTTATGGCATATCGCCAATTTTGTCACCAAATCTCGCCAAATGTGGCAGCCCTGCCCTCCCTGCCATTTTATGGCAACCCTAAACCTGCTTTGCGGGGAAGCTGTCTTACCGCGCTTGGACATTTCGTCACAATATATATGCATATGTCAGAAAAAAAAAATAGGTAACATAAAATATTAACTTAAATTTACAATAATTTTGTAAGGACATTAGGTATTTTTTGAAAGCAGAAGTGAAAATGAGCAACGCCCACGCCGGGAATCGAACCACGGGTCTCTGAAATACGCGGCCAGCGCGCAGATCACCACACCACGAAGGCATGCCAAGAAGGCGGGAGAAATACCTTATATCCCCTTTTAAAGGGCGACTGGGATTTTTAGGGAACCCCAGTCGCCAAATCCTGGGTGTGGAGAATCATCATCCACCACCCTTTCAGTTCGGGCGCTACTGTAGAGACATTAGGTATTTCGAAGCAGAAGAGATGAAAAATGATCAACGCCAAATGCTTTGCCTGCGGCAGTAGAAATTTTTTATTTATTTTTACAGTACCACAAATGTACGTGTTTTTCCTCAGAAGTTCCTCGACCAATGGAACACTTGTATAAAAAGTATCGGTAAACAATATCCGGTACTCAACAATAATTTCATATCTACATCCTCGGAATGTGCTTTTAAAATTCTCGCTTCATCCTTCCTTTAATAAATATGCATACTGTACGTATAACCTTCCGGAAGGCACAGTTAGTATAGTTTTATCCCGCACTCGTGTCTCTTGCCTGGTATATAATAACGAAAACTGAGAAGTCCTCTCCGTGGAAGCGTGCTTTCGTCGATTACTATGCTTTTACCGGGTTTCACGGTATTTTTGAAATTACGAACAATTTTATCAAGAATGTTTCGAAGTTTATACAACCGATCCTCGGTTCTAATAGTAGCATTGTCCGTAAATGCAAATATTTCAATATCGATGTAAACTGATCGCGTTTCATTGTTTTTTACTTCCTTGTATGAAGTAAAAAGGAAGTATTGTAATCGCGAAAAGTTTCAGACAGCATATTTCAACGAAAATATCCATTTTGACCGCTATCGAATGCAATTTAACGATGTTTTTGCGTGATATCTGTACGTAAGGACAGAATAAAATAATCGTTTCCTCCAAAAAAATGATAAAACTGCTTTAAAATTAATTCTGAAGAGAATTTTTCTTGGCGTCTGTACGAACGTATGTACGTACGTGCGTACGTACGTATCTCGCATAACTCGAAAACGAGTAACCTCAGAACGTTGAAATTTTGTATATAAGACTACTATAACATGCAGATGTGCACCTCGTATTTTGGTTGCAGTCGGCCGCACCAAACGTATATAAATACTATATTTATATATATATCCACTCTGTTACTCGGCACAGTGATCTCAGTTTCTTTACTCTTACATGTTTGTAAATTGTATAATTTACAAAAATGATTGAATTATGTTGTTCTTATCTTCCGGTTAATGTTTTTATGCCTTTCGTAATTCTGGAAGCAATATTTGAACAATTATCAACTATTTAAAAGCTATTTAAGTGCGGTTAAGTTTTAAATAACATGGCGGACATATTTGTTTACATTTGAAACAGCAGAATTGTAGATTTATTGCCAATCTAGAGAGACTAAGCTTCGCAACAACAAAGATAACGCCTTCATTTATTATTGCCAATTAAATCATGCTTAATCCTTTCTGGAATTTTTTCGAGGAAATAAGTGTTTAAGATTTACTTCGTAATTTTAATAAGGATATTTTGAGTTTTTATGTATTTTTGCCTTGTCGCGAAGTGAGAAATACTCAATCGTCTGTGAAAAACTGTTTCTTTTCTGTTTTGTTTGCTTAATTTCTTTCATCCATCATTCTAGCTTTATTATAGTATTTGAATAGAACATGTGGCAACGATAAGATAATTCTTCAAATGATATAAATTTTGTGCATTCAGAGTGTCGTTATAGTAAACAAATATAGATAATTTTAAAGAATGCATTTATTCTATTGTGGTTTATGCGCTGTCGACGAAATAGATTTAATTCAATCCAATCAATTTAAATGAAATTCAAGAAAAAAAATGCGTATAATTTAATATTCCGTACAAGGAAGTCATGAGGTGTCTACATCAGATTTTTTTTTATGCGTGCACTCGCATATATCTCCTTCTTTGACCAGTAAAATCTAATTTCGGGTAACTGCACTACACCCATAATTAGTAAAATACAAATAAAAGTATTCATTTCACCTTTCGTAACGTGCTTCCAGGCTTCTCGATACCTTCTTGCTACCAGCTGCCAGATTGGATATGCACTGTATTGCATATCTATTTGTCTCTTTAACGACCATCTTGTACAATGCAAAAGGATCGTCGCAGTCCGTCTCTTCAATCAAACATTTTTCTTCTTATGAATACGTTTCCTCTACTGTACTTTTTTCTCTCATTTTTTGCCATTCCGCATCATGATTTTGTTCTTCTACCTCAGACCCCAAATCTTCCTGCGAGGTATTTCCGTGTCTGATGATTTGAGAGTATTCTTACTTTTCGTGTGTTTCTTCTGATTACAGATGTGAATTCATCAGACGAATCACTAATTTCCATATCCATTGTATATAATATTTAGATGGGTAAAAATTAAAAATTAAAAATGCTAACCACCTTTTTAGAAAATTTTTACTACCGTTAGACTTACCGGAAGAAATGTGTGCTCAGAAAATTCGTTATGTCAAAACTCTACTGACCTCGCACCTCACAGGTACTTCACACAACCCTAGATTACTTGCAAGGCAC